GAAATTTGGCTATTTTGGAAAGTTGGCAAAGTTTGAGCACCAAATTCCAAATATGGGAAAATAAGTTAATTTTGTAATTGTGATATTGTTGAGGTATTGGGCTGGAATTAAATGCTGAAAATTTAATTAAGTTAATTGAAGCTTGAATGTAAGCTAAATGGCAAGGGACCATTTGTAGTAGAATGGAAAAATTGAGATGAATTCTAAAAGAATTCATAATTAGTGATTAAAAATGCAAAGTTGAAAATGTTACGTGAAGTTTGGTGAAATTGGATAAAAAGGGACTTGAGTAGTCAATTTAAAGTGTTAAGGTCAATATTCACGTTGTGATACAAAGTTAGTGTCAGATGAGCATCAAAATATTTTTAGGAATTTATTTTTCTATTTTGTGTGCCTATGTTAGTAAGATTCTAACAAGTGGTTTGAAATGTATATGTTTTGTAAATGGTGTCCATTTAGATTATGATCGAAATCAATATCAACCAAAATTAAAGCTAAGGATAAGCTTAAGAATTAATGTGAATTACTAAAGAAGATTTACAATCTAAGGACATCAAGTGAATGCATTTAATTTGTATTTATGTTATCAAGCAAACATTTGTTTGCAGTTAGCCAGTGACGAAGATACTATGGTAAGAAGTGACTCCTAGTGTTATGTGAATTGTGTTTCAAGCCTATATGTTCATTTGGTATGTAACACCCCTAACTCGTACCCAACCAGGATACGAATCCGAGGTGTCAAAACATATGTAATTAACAAATAAGTTCTTACATTTTGGTCACTGACCTGATGATTGGGATGCTACATGGTAAGCTAATAGAATTAGTGAATAAGTTAAAGGATGCAAATTGGTAAAATCTGCCTATACTTGTGACTTGAACAGTAAGTTTAAAAAATCACCATAAATACTACATAAATGTTTAGAGGATGTATCTTATGCCGTTGGATTTGTATATCAATGTAGTTTCTTAAACATATATTGATTTAGAGAAGTATACAAAAAAGATATGAATTTTTAATCGAGGATAGGTCAGAAAACAGGGCAGCAAATTCTGCTCAAAACAGCTTCTGTAAATCAGCTTTAAAAACTCACTATAAATTGTACAAATGGAACTAGAAGAAGTGTCTTATATGGTTAGATTTGTATTTAAGTTTAGTTTTTAGTGGGATAAACAGAATAATTTTTTAAGTGTGTAGATTAATACATAATAATATCTCTTTGAAGGTAGTGCAAACTACCAGAATATGAAAATGTGATAAATTTCGTGAGAGAAGCGAATCGAAAGCAATGAATTGAGCTTAAAGTGACTTGTATACAAAGTAGTAATGTTTAATTATTTTGATCGAAGAAGACTTGTTATAAGTCAACCTCATAATATTTATTTTAAAATATGATTTCTAAATTAATTATGGAATATTTCTATGATGTTTATACAAATGTTTTATGGATGGTTTGGGGTTTAAACTACTCAAGTTTATGTTTTTACTATGATGAATTAAAATGATTCTGATTTTAAAATTTTAATTATCAAATAATTATGAAATAAATTAAAAGCCCATTGTATGTTGCATTGAGAGTTGTAGGTACACTTAGCATGCCAGAAAGTTGAGTAAAGTTAAAGTTAAGTTCAGTAATGGTTTATTCGTGTATATTATGCATGGCACCGTTGGTGCATATGATATGATTTACACTTGGAGTGCATCTTATGATGATGATGATTGGCACCGTGTAGTGCCTAGTACGCATATTATGTTTGACTCACGTACCTTGTGTTCTCTTATATATACATGAGCTATAAAAGTGAAAGTGAAAGTTATGACAAGTATATGCAAGAAAAAAATATGGAAATGAAATGAAAGTTCTTAAATATGTACTAATGAAAAGAGTATGATTTGTTTATTATATTTGATGTTGATTTACATGATTTTTGATAAAATCATGTGATGATGATTTTTAGGTTTTCAAGGGAAAACGACTTGAATAGCTTGATTTGAGAGTTTCAATATTTTTAATTAAATTACAAATTTATGTTTTAAAATACTTTATGATATTTATGTTTTATCACACCTTAGTTATGTTACTGTCTCACTAAGTTTTACTTAGCGTGATATGATTTTCATGCATAGGTTCGAATAACAAAAAGAGCGTGAAGAGAGGAGCTTTCCAATCATCCTTTGGAAATCAAACCTACCGATAGTATTAGTAAGAGATCCTATCTTTGACTTATTAGTGACATGTACATTATATTTGTTGGGTTGCTTTATCGGATTTACTTTAAAAGGGTCTGAAGTAATAATTTAGGACTATTTTAATTTTGGCTAATTTTAGATATAATCATATTTATAAATGAATAGTATAAATATTATGCTTTAAATGATTTTTAAATCAAGTAATATTTAGGCAGTTTTATATAGTTATGAAACAACACAAAATTGCTTAATTGTTGCATAAAGTCATATTTATTTTGATTCATAAATTATTATTTTATGAATATACATGATTAATGAAACATATTTAAAATTGTTAAATAGATGTTTTACAATGAAACGAAATTGTATGCATTTATGTTTTACGGATGTCTAAAAAGTTAGTGTGACATCTTTAACTCGTAATTCGAGATATATACGTGTTATGAGTGTTACAATCACACATCTTTCTTTCAGATAGGCTTAAAGTTGTTCACTTTTTCTTGTATTTCTTTATACTTTTCATTTAAATACACACATGTCATATCATAATCTTCGTTCTTTAAATTTGATTTAAAAATATAGTATTATAAAGTGAATTTTTCCTTCATACAAAATTTATATAATAATGAATAAACATATAATTATGGTATTTAATGTTAATTTAAGAATTTAATTTAAAATTAATTCAATTAATTTTAACTATGAGAGATTATTCAATTTAAACTAAAACTAATTTAATCTTAAAATGATTTAATTTTCAAATGGTGTGAATAAATAATTTAATTAATTCAACTTAAGTAACTAATTTTAAACATAACTATCGCTATATTATTAATGATATATATATATATATATATTTATTTATAATATATTTTTAAGGATTAAATAAAAATATTTAATCTATGTAATTTTATATTTCGGATAATTTAAAGTTTGGTTGCGGTATTGCGGTGCAATTTGTAGTATGTTGCGGCGTTACACAACGGTTTTAGACCACAAAAGTCGTGATGCGATTTCCTTGTCACGTTGCTTCGATACTGCATCACGGTAACCTTCAAAACCGTTATGATACGGTCGTTACGTTGCGTTGCGACCACAACTTAAGTAGAACTTATTGCATGAAAACACTGGTCGCACAATATATACACTTTCCCTGGTATGTAAACAAAAATCCGATGATATATAACTAGATGTGCTGGTGAAAAATTTGGGGTGGTAAATGATGTTCTATGAGGAGAGCTTGAGAATGACAACGAGTATGGAACTCTTGGAACCTATTACAACGGCTTCATTTCGTCAGTGCAGAGAATTGCATAGAATGAATCGTAGAGCAGAGCAACAGAGGCAGGGGAACCATTTCTTCAAGCAAAGGAGGCTCTCTGCTTGATCTGCAAGCACTTCTCCCTTGTCAGCATCAACCATCATGTCCTTGACCAGATCCCATGATGTCTTTGAACTCACCCACGTTGCATTGTTGACAGGCTTGGAGTTGGTCTTGTTGCGCCACAAATATATAGAGGCCTCCACTCGGTTGGCCATCTCTATAGCTTGATGCTCGGATGACGAATCAAGGCAATCGAGAGGACATTCGGGTGTAAACAAATCCGATAAACGAAACCTCCTAAACTTGTATGTTTAATAGACCTGTTTATGTGGATGGTTGTTAGTTATGAAATGCAGGTTGATGGCATGGAATCATTGTTACAGGACATACTTCATTTGAGCATGTGAGGTACCTTTGTATTTATGTTGCGTGGCAGATTCTCTTGCAACAAAGCTTCTGATCTCCCCGTCTTATAATTCAATAACCACTTCAACTTTCATCACATTTTGCATTTTTACTCAACAAGTAAATATATTTCCACTAATCTCCTCAACTTTATCATGTTGTTTGATATGTCTTTCTCTTTTTACTTGTCAAACTACCATTAAAGTTGATTTTTTCTTGAATAATGCACTTTTTCTTCTATTGACTTTTTCACTGCTGCTGTAGATGTAGCAGCAATTGGATTTACCCCCGCTTCATCATCCAAGTAAAGGGAGAAGAATCACCAGCATTAATAATTTAATATCCAAAAATTTACTTCAAAGAGCCATTCTAATTAAAAAAAAAGAAAAACACATATTGAAATTAAAAAGTTGAAAAGTCAAAGCAGGCATATCATCGCACTGTTGGTAAATTAATCGAGTGCGACTAAAAAAACTTAATGTATAAAGTTTAATCATTAAATTATAAAGTTTTAAACTTGAGTAACCAAATAGTAGTAGGAAGAAAGTTCAGTGATGACTTGTGTAGTTTAACCTAAAAATAAATGCATTGAATTAAATATTTGACTAAATTTCGTGTTTAGTACTAAAATTATCAGTTTTGATCTATTTTAGTATTTAAACTTTTGTTTTTTAAACCATACCCAATTTTTGTTTCTTTTTAATACCCGTTCAAAATTAATCGTTAAGTTTAAAAAAATTAAAATTTTAGGTACTAAAATAGACCAAAATTAATAATTTAAGTATTAAATACGTTAATTTTTTAACTACAAGTACTAAAATAAAAAAACTAAACATTATATATAATTTTAAAAAAATTAAAATATTAAATATTAAAATAAATCAAAATAAATAGATTTAATATTAAATACCCAATTGACCATAAATATTTTGTCGAAGTACCAGGTTTATTCCTATTTTTGAAGTGACAATTTAACCATTTCATCATCCCGAGAAAATTGAAATGTCCCAGTTTAATGGTAATCTTGACTCTCTGGAGTTGATTTTTGACTCAATTTGCTGAACTGTGGCACAGAAAAAAAAACCCTCCATGATGCACCGTCACCACCACCACCGCCGATTCCAACAAGTTATAACCAGTAGCCGCCGTCACTACGCCACCAAATACATAGCCAAAATAACCTCAACTTCCCCAAGCGGCCGCTCCCTCTCCGCCGAAGTCTCCGTTCCCGCCGTTGCCACCGATTCACGTGGCTACCCAATCCCACGCCACCAGCTTATCTGCAAAGTGACACACATCCTCACCAAATCCCAATCCGATCCTTTCGCCGTTCTCTCACAGTATCTTTCGTCCCTCTCCCCAACCCTTACCACCAATGAAGCTTCCCTCATTCTCAAATCCCTAAACTGCCCATCCCTCGCCTTGAAATTCTTCCACTTTTGCCCCTCCCTTTCCCCAAATTTCCGCCACGACCCCTTCACTTATTCCCGCCTCTTCCTCATTCTGTCCAAATCTTTGCGCCCCGATCGCTTCGACACCGTGAGATCACTCCTCGATGACATGGAGATGTCCGGAATACGTGGAAACATCTCCACCGTCAACATCCTTATAGGGCTTTTCGGGAACACTGAGGATTTGGACATGTGTTTCGGGTTAATTAAGAAATGGGAGTTGAAGATGAATGCTTACACTTATAAGTGCTTGGTTCAAGCTTACTTAAGGTCGCGTGACTCTGGGAATGCGTTTTCGGTTTACGGGGAGATGAGAAGGAACGGTTATAAATTAGATGTTTTTGGCTATAACATGTTGTTGAATGCTTTGGCAAAGGATGAAAAGGTTTGATCTTTCGTTTTAATCTCTTCTTAATTGATTGATATTGCATAATGGTTTATTATTGTTTTTGTTTTCTGTTTTTGTATGAAATGAGTTTGAAATATGTAGCCTTTGATTTGATCCTTTAGTCTTATCCTCCATTGGAACCAGTGGAAGTAGTAATTTGAGCTTTGGGTATAATAGCAAATCCTTAGTTGATTGTAACAGCATTGATTCAAAGTCTCATTTTGTTGCTTGCTTTTCTCTTGTTATTTGCTTTTACTTCTTAAGCAGCAAAATCTGAATTAAATTTGACTGCAAATGAATTAAGAACTGAATTGTAACACTGTTTCTAACATTGATTGTCTTACATAGAAGTAAAATCATGCTCTTTTTTCTCTAGATTTGCTATTGTATTTGTTTTTGCAGCAGAACATGCTCCCCCCCCCCCCCTTTTTAAATATATATAAAAATGGAATTCTTTATTCAAACATTAGTAGCAGAATGTATAAAGTTTTGATATCAGTTACTAAATGATTCTGCTGCATTGGTCCTGAAGTGCTAATCTAATCTGCAGCATTTGACAGATAGACCAGGCATACTTGGTTTTTGAAGACATGAAACGAAAGCATTGTGAGCTGGATGAGTATACATACACAATTATGATCAGATTGAATGGAAAACTTGGTAGATGTGATGAATCACTGAAGTTTTTTGATGAAATGATGTCAAAGGGCTGTTCTCTTAATTTGATTGTCTATAATACTGTGATTCAGGCACTAGCCAATGGACGGATGGTTGACAAGGTAATTAGCCTCTTCTATGAAATGGTGGAGAAGGGTTGTCGGCCCAATGAATTTACATACACTGTCATTTTAAATGTTTTGGTTGCGGAAGGTCAGCTTAGTAAACTAGATGAAGTTATTGAAGCATCAAAGAAATATATTACTAAGTCAATATATGCATATCTGGTAAGGACACTTAGTAAGCTGGGTCATGCAAGTGAGGCTCACCGGCTATTTTGCAATATGTGGTACAGCCACAATGAGGGGGATAAGGATGCGCACGTTTCTATGTTGGAGAGCCTTTGTAGTGCAGGTAAAACAGTTGAGGCTATGGACCTGCTAAGTAAGATCAAGGAAAAGGGAATCGACACTGATACGCTCATGTATAACACAGTATTTTTGACACTTGGTAGGTTCAAGCAAATTTCTCATCTTGATGACCTTTATGAAAAGATGAAACAGCAAGGCCCCTCACCTGATATATTTACATACAATATACTAATCTCTAGCTTTGGAAGGGCTGGGAAAGTTGATGAGGCTATCAAAATCTTTGAAGAACTTGAGAAAAGCAATTGTAAACCTGATATTGTATCTTATAATTCTTTGATCAATTGCCTTGGAAAAAATGGTAATGTCGATGAAGCTCACATGAGATTTAAGGAGATGCAAGAGAAAGGATTAAATCCAGATGTTGTAACTTACAGCACACTCATTGAGTGCTTTGGCAAAACAGATAAAGTTGAGATGGCTTGCTCATTATTTGATGAAATGTCTGCTGAAGGTTGTTACCCTAACATTGTGACATATAACATTTTACTCGACTGTCTTGAGAGAAGCGGAAGGACCGCAGAAGCTGTAGATCTCTATACAAAACTTAAACAGCAGGGGTTGACACCTGATTCAATTACATACACAGTGCTAGAACGGCTGCAAAGTGGTCCACAGAAGAAATTCAGGGTCCGTAGGCAAAACCCAATCACTGGTTGGGTTGTTAGCCCTTTGAGATGATGGAAGACTAGAAAGGTTACATGCAAATTTGACCATTTTTGCAGTTAACTAGTTTGAATATTTTGAACTGAATGTATCCCTTGATATACTTAAAAAGCTGATACAGGGTGGTTATGGAACAAGGGTAGAGTAGTTTCAGGTAGGTCGTGTTTAACTGGCTGATTGGAGAGGCTTTTGAAAGAGAGGTATCTTGTTCCAATGCTTTTTATTTTTATTTTTTGCTGCTAAGCTATTGACAGCCAGGGAAAGTTGTCCTAGTCTTTGCTAAACATTTCCCATCACGGAGTCTGCAAGTGGTGTCGTCTACCTGTTGCTAAAATGTCTCTGATGATGACACTTTAGGTACATGGCTTCTTAGAATGCTCTTGCCAGGCCTCAGCCCCCTATCCTTTTTTTTCCCTTATTTAAGGTTGTGCCCCGTTCAGTTTGGTTGGAGTTTGGCCTTGTGTATGGTTCATACTCGCCAAACTACAATGGAAGTTGTATGAGGGGATTTGGGATTCTTCTTATGCAAAACTGCGATCCTAAAACTTAAAAAAGGGTACAAAATAATTGTTATGATTATTGAGCTTTTAAAAACTATAAAATAGTTATTAAATTTATTAAAATGTTACAAAATAATGTTTGGTGTGAAAGTTTGATAAATTTAATGATAAGCTTGCATCAATTTGATAAAAATTAATAATTATTTTATAACCCCAGCCAGTTTCACTGCCATGCCATGTATCAGAAATATACGTACATTGTGTTTTTAGGTCATTTGATTAAAAAACATGAATTGTTAAAAAAAAATACACTTTTGGGTTTCAGTTTCAATTTCAATTTAGTAAATTACATTAACCATAAAAAGAATTACTAAAACTAATAAATTTAATAGCATACAAAGCTTGAAAAAAAACGACCATACAATCAACAGAGCAGATCATGTAACATTGTAAAGCACAAAAGGGAAGTTTCTAACACTCTTTCAAGAATCCATCGAGTTAATACAGGATAAACAATTGGAAATGTTGATGAATATTATGCAAATAGGCAACAACTTCCAACATTATCGGAAATCATGTTCATGGATGAGAAGCAAGCTTCATAAGCTAAAGGAAACGGAGTTTTCTTCATTAGCTCTCACCGAGCAAAACAAGTAGTCCCTCATCTGTAATTGGTCCCATATCCATAGCCCTATCTAATGCACTAAATCCCCCACCATCTCTAATCGAAGGCCGTGCACCTCTGCACCTCATTCACGAATTGATATCATTTATCTAACAGAGATGAGAGTACGAGGAAGTAAAGCATTGCATTAAGTTTTGAAAGGGAATCCGTATCTTGTCATTTCATCAATACTTTTATCAAGCACTATATGAGCAGAGTAATCATATATCATGCAATATTTCGAGGGTATGGTTTATCAACTAATTTAGTATGCAGTACCAATAAATAGTTGGTCTACTGAGATGAGACACTCGATTCCTCAAACAAGGTCAGGGATTTGAATTCTGGTGTTCTAAATGGAACAAAGTGCGTTTAGAGAATTTCCTCCACAATGGACCTATGTAGTACTTGATCCAAATTAATCGATCAATAGATCAGATCTAATAAGGCTATCAGAAGTTGGCCAATAGACCTAGTCTAGAGAAATCTTCGACTTGTCTAGATGGACGGTTTCACCTAATAAGTTATTCCTTTGGGTTGGGACCCAGGCTAAAATTAGTACTCTTGTCATTTAGGCTTAAGACATGCTTAGATGGTGTCATCTATTTTCATGAAGTACTAGATTTCATACGGATAAGCACGCAAAATATGCAACCTACCTTTTCAGTATACGCTTTGCCAACGTGTAATGGCCTGTAGCAACGCAATGGTGCAAAGGAGTCCTGCCATGGAAATCGCGCATATTTATATCGGCACCAGATAGCATCAACAACTCAACCATCACAGGGTTTCCATTTTGGCATGCCAGATGCAACAGTGAACAACCTTGTAGACAGTAAGTAGGATCATCTGAAGTCTTGATTCTCTGACAGGCTGATGGATCATTCTGTATCAACTGCTCAGTGTGGCTATCAATTTTTTGGTCGCGAGCATCAGCATGGTGATACAACTCGACACTGAAGACATCGTCAAAGGTCGTATTTACAATATTGGTGACCGACATTGCAATTAGACTATATACTTGTCGTAAATTATCAGCCTTAACTGCTTGCCAGATGTTTATGTGGTCTGTAGACACTCCATATTGCTCTGGATCTATGATGATTAGCAATTTGCTTGCATTCTTGTTAAGAGAGGAATAATGTTAGGCTTTGTATTGGAAATCACAGCATGATCATCAAGAGAAAAAAATCCAACTATGTACCTTAGCGTTAATATATTTCTCTTCATCAGAAATCGCATCTTTGGGACAGGGTTTTGTCATTGATGTGCTAATAGCATATGAGTCATCCACACTGCAAAGAAATTGAATAGAACAGGAAAGAGAAAGGAATTATTATAGTGCTAGCTACCAGATACAAAATTAAGCCATCAGCTTAACCACTTATAGATCATCAGTTCAACATGATTTTTATATGAATTCTTTCTTGTTATAAAGAAAAACCTATGATTTTTTTAACCCTTTTAATGTAAAAAGAAAAAAGTTAAAGCTCTGAACACAAAAAGGCCACCAAATTTAGGGGATCTGTATATGTCCTAATTAAGACATTACATTAACCTAATTTGAACTATTTACATATGATTTTGAAATATCACATAAACATACAAAAGGCAAAGTACAAATTTCATTTCCGAGAAAAATAAGTAGATACAGACAAAGCCTCAATCATACAAATTCATATTTACCATAATTTCAATATTAATAAAGCATATTAATTTTTGTGTTTTCCTCACTTGATCTTCTATAGGCACCATATACGCTTATGAGAAATCAAGAATTACAGTTTAGTGTACAGAAATGGCATTACAAATTAACAGAGCAGTTACTAGCAGTACACACACACACTATTTCCCCCCTGTGGATATCCTACCTCTCTTTCTGGAGTGAACCTTCCCATATAGAGTTACAATAAGAATTTCCCAGAGTACGAAACAATTCCACAACGGAAGGTTCCCACACTTGGACATCTAATGTCAAAGATCTCACCTGCAACAGAAGAAAGTATTATTTTATTGACGACTCTTAAAATGAAGGAAAGATCATGATATCAATTTCTTTCCATTGGTTTCCTCACTATTAATTGTTCTTTAGATTTAAATTTTCTTATTTCACTAAAGTTGACTTCCATTCAACTAGTACACCGTATTTTCACAGGCAAAACTACTTGCAAGTCAATGGCAGCAAAGTCATATGTAAGTATAATAGCTGTTATGAAACTGTACAACAGATTAACCCAACACCCTGCTGCTGCACCCACAATGAAATTAAAGGGAACTAAATGTATCCTCTGAATATAAATCATATGGCATCAAAGCTGGTGCGTTGTAAACAGACTTTCCCAACAGACTGGTGCAACACCCAAGTGTTTGAAATGAAGGGAACTAAATACTTTAAGAGAATAATGTTGAATGCAATTCAACAATCTAATAGATTTAATCTGAAATGGAGGAACTCTTAACTGGGTGCACCAGCTATACAACTACTAATAACTAAGACATGATTTACGATCTGTCATGCAGTTTCATGAAAATTGAGGTGGAAAGTGTAAAATAACAATAAACCTTTTTCTGCAACCTAATAGTCTCAAATTTAAACCTTAAACTGGTTGAGGACCAAATACAAATTACTAACTATAACCCTATAATCCGGGGGGGGGGCATAAGGTCTCTTTTCTCTTTTCTGAAGAATAAATTGCACCTTTGAAATGTGTACACCGAGATTACGGTGAACACCAGAGCATTCGATGCATAACAATATGCCAAGATTGAGAGATGCCCAGTCGGGTTCATGGGCATTGCATTCTGCACAAAAATCATTTCCAGGAATTTCTCGGATGACTGCAGAAACAGTCTCTGTTCTGTTGCCTATTTGATCATCTGAAGTACCTTGGTTATTAGGTAACAAAACATTAGAAGTTCTGCGAGCATAATCATTATTCTCCACATGCTTTTTTCCCTGGATGCAACCACAACAGACAAACAAATCACACTATTAGTAGCAATTTAATGAGAATTGATATTTCAACATCGCAAACCTAGGAAAATTATGTCTAGAAAAGAGAAGAACCTGCTGCAGGCATTGATTGTTCAAAAGAGATGTAATAACTGCAGTTATTATATTAATCCCGTCCATTCTATCCCCCACATTTTCAGCCTGCCCAAACCAATGACAAAAGTATCAGCACAATCATGGTGAAGAAAACATTATAGTCTAGCTTAATTTAGACAGTTTGAAAATATTTCCCTTTGTTTGAATACATTCTATAATCTAATACAAATATATCTGTAATAATTCACGTTTGTACAAGAGAATGGCACATGCTTAGTTATTTTATAGATAGAAGGTCTAGTTCAAGGTACAATATGTTTCGTGGAGGCAACTTAGTAACATGATAGAATAAGAAACATAATGTTGCAGTTAGATCAAGTGTATAAGCTTAATTTAGAGCAATGACACAAGGTCTTTGTGCTTTATTACGATTGAAGATTATATCGGCAGATTTGAAGATCAAACGGAATGGACCAATGAAGTTATACTGTGACAATAAGGCAGCTATTAGTATTACACATAACCTAGTGCAACATGAATTAATTGAGTATATTGAGGGGACTAATTTGTCAAGGAAAAGCTAGAGAGTGTGCTAATTTGTACTCTACATATTAAGGGGCACCTAGCAAGTCTTTACAAACAGGCTTGACAGTAAGACTTCCTGTGGAATTATAAAAAAGCTGGGAATGAATGGTACTAATTCTCCTATATGATTAAACTTAAACAATCAAGCACAGTTGTAAAGAAATACTACATACCGTTGGTTTGATACCCTTATTCCTATAATAGTACAGTGTTCCTTGACTATCAAGTACAAAGAACCTCCTCTTCCAATCTCCCCTCGAACTTGAAGAACGTTTCAACAAATATCCTTGTTTGATTCATTGATTGTTTGGACCTCTAAAATGAATGACTTCATCATCTCTCCCAGCAATACCTTTGATGGAATAAACACAACGGCTAAAAATAACAGCCAAACAATATCAATATATGTATCTATGTGCGTGTGCGTGTGTGTGTGTGAAGATCACTCACTCACCTCCCCGTTTATTGAGGACTGCATGATTGCTTCTATGTTTTTGTCTGAATTTATGCCCATAACAAAATTTCCACCAGAACACATTGAAGACCCTATGTTACTACAATGTCAATAACTTGGTCTTAACATCATGGGGTGGATCAACCTTCATTAAATAGTTAATCGGACAGTAGTAGTCGACAGTCAACACCTTTCTAACTTCCACTCATTCACTTTTTTTTTTATATAGACGTTAAACTGCTAATTGAGATATGATAAAATATGATCCTAGAATTGTGCAAGTAAACATGAATAAAATATAATTTTATCATATCACAATCAGTAAATTAACGTCTAACTTAAATGACTATCGATTTTTTCAACGGGGAGTGACAAGCTTAGACCATATGAATAGTCGAATGATCAATTTATACATTTTAATAGCCAGATGACTCGATAAAGTAGTGTCTTATAGTAAAGGGACAATTTTATAACCTTTAATAGTCGAATGACTCAACAAAACAACATCCTATATTCGATGGATCATTTGTATATTTTATCCTAAGATATTTCATATATTTATTTATAAATTTTAGGCAAAATTATAAACAAAGAATGATTAAATCTGAACCGAATCAGTTAGAATTCGAAGGATAACTACCGATATTCAACTTGCCAACTGGACATCTCTAGTCTTCTTTTTAACCAGGTCAAGATGACGATAAACAAAATCTAAATCACTCAAATTTGACCAAGTTTTACATTTGGGATCAAATTTGCTTTTGATTAGTGCAAGTCGATTCACTTATATGATTTAAAATATCTTTAAATAAATAATGAGATTATATATTATAACAACGAGACGTGCTTAAATTCAAACACATATACAAGGCAAAAATTAAAATTGATTGTAGAGGATAATAGAAAATTTAAATTATTTCAACACGAATCAATTTATTTCAATGACTACATATCGTTTATAGAGGTTATAGTTCGATCACCAACGACTGCAAGGGAAATTGAGTGTTTATTGTAAAATAGTTAAGGATACTTGAAACATATACTATTTTGTAGTCACCTTAACTTAATAAAGAATTATTCTAGATTTATGAAATTATAAAAGCATAATGTATTATTATTTAATTACTAAAACAATAACGTATCATAATAATACATGTTATGAACACGTTTTATTAAGAATTTTAAAAAAAAAATCTAAGATGATTAGAAGGTAATTTTTTAGAAAACATAATATTTGTTTACATTTTTTCAGTTGATTCACAACATATACATCTTATAAGTATATCTTCTCAAATTAAAATCTTTTAAAAATAATATTTTTTATTATTAAAACTACTCAATAATTGTTTTAGAAAAATCATGAATTATATGTAATAGAAACATCGAAAAAAAATTGCATCCAATGAGCCCAAAAATTGAGGTCCTTAAGGACTACTGATTGTAGTAAGCCCAGGATGAGCTCCTACCCTCCTACAGTATTTACTTGGCTTTTTTGGCCCAATAGGGTAGTCAGGATTTTTTATTTTTTTTTTTGCAAAATAGAACACATACACTTTTATTTTGAAATTTACGGTATTTTTTATAGTGTATAAAACTCGTCACGTTGAAATGATGAGTTCTTTTTATTCAAACTTTTTACTTTGATGTGATAAATTTTAATAAAAAAATTTATATTTTATTGAAACTCATCATATAGACGTAAAGAATTTGAATAAAAAAATCATTTTATTAGAACTCATCATCTCGAAATGATAAGTTTCATAAAAACTGTAAAAAATATCGTAGATCTTAAAATAAACTTTTACTCGCCCTGTTTTACCAGATAACTTATCCGTTTGCTCTATTGGAACAAAAAAACCTATTTACTTGGTCATTCGGGCTTAATGTCCTATTGAGTGGGGCTAATTTTTACTTCTAATATAATTTTTTTTTTTAAAATGGACATGAATTGCATTAAGCGTAAATAGCGTCATTCATTACAATAGAGGTAATAAAATCCGTAGGCATATAAATAAATTGAACGTTCAGCGAACTATTCGTGAATCGTTTGACATAAAGTTTGTTTATGTTCGTTTATTTATTAAACGAATGAACATGAATAAGATTTTGTGTTCGTTTAATTAAATGAACGAACACGAACATAAGAGTCGTTCGTTCATTTAAGTTCGTAAACATTTAGTAATATGTTTGTTCGTTTATGTTCGTTCGTTTAAGTGCGTTCATTTATGTTTAGCCCAATCTCTCTAGACCCATTTAAAATATTAAAACCCAATAAATTTTAATCTGATATCCATAAATATTTTAAAATTCAATTAATTTTAAATAAAAATAAAAAAGCCCAAAACAATTAAATAAAATATAATCCTAAAATTGTTAGGAAAGAAAAAAAAATCTATTTTCATTTATATTTGTTTAAGTTCGTTTATGTTCATTTATTATGTTCGTTTACGTTCGTTCGTTTGTGTTCATTTATGTTCGTTTACATCCGTTTGTTTATGTTCGTTCATTTGTGTTCGTTTATCATTTAAAAGAACGATTATGAACGAACACGAACAAGCTACATTCCTTAACGAACGAACATGCATAAGAAATTTTTTGTTCGTTTATGTTTGTGTTCGTTCATTTGTTCGGTTAAAGTTAAACAAACGAACGTGAACATACACCTATTCGTGTCTGTTTGGTTCATTTGCAGGCCTAAAATCCGGGCATTCATCTTCAAAAGAAATAGAGGAGGGTAAGTGGGATGCCCAAGTAGCAAGGGAATGTGCAGCTAAATTTGCTGACTGACGAATATAGGCAACTCGCAAGGTTGGATTTTCAGCCAGCAAATGGAGAGCCTCCTCAAGATGAAAACGAGCCACTGATAAACCCAACTATCTCCGCTGCAATTGGTGAACTAAATTTGCTGCATCACTCTCGATAACAGTCTGTGTAGCATTCAACTCGAGTCCCAAACGAAGTCCCAATGCAAGTGCGTATGCTTCAGCAATACAAGGTTCACCCTTAACATCCAAGTAAATTGCCTTACCAGCGATCACCATTCCAGTTTCATCTCTCACAAGAATTCCGGCTGCCAGTATACCAGATGGAGAGACGGCACCATCAACATTGATCTTAATAGTCGAGCAAGGGGGTTTGCGGCAACGAGAAGGTCGTAATGGCAATATAGTTGAAGCCGGGACAGCATGAACCTGGGAATATGCAGGGGATTCCGAGATCACATGCCACCCTGGTGTCAGACGCCGTTCATGGACAAACAAATTTCGCCTCATCCACAGAGAATAAATGATGCCCAGAAGATCAATAAACTGAAATAGTGGAAGAAATTGCATAAAAAATACCATCCAATCCCGAGCTGAGCTGTGAGGGTATGAATAAAACCAACCGTGTAACCCGCATCAGCCAGTATCATTTTTCCACGAGAAATATATAGGAAGGGGGAAACGTAGGAAGGACACGTGGCTTAATTTTTTAAAGGGATACTAATGGGTAGAGGATTTGTATTCTTACATTTTTCCAACGAATCCATAAATATTTTTAAAGGTTTATATATATATATATATATAATTATATTAGATAAATAAATTTATAAAATTTTAAGGAGAATTAAATTTATAAAATTTTAAAACATGAAATTAGATTTTTAATAAAATTTTCAAAATATATATATAAAAAAACAGTCCCCGTCCACTCCCTTTTATACCCCTGTTTCCTAAAGGCATTTGCGTTTTGGTAACATTTAATTTTTTTTAATTAATCATTTGTATCCGATCTATTGACCGACTAATATAGATCGTGTACTGTAGAGACGAGAGTGACCCTCCCAACCTAATTTACTCCATTCGCAAACGTCAGGATTCGACCCTTGACCTTGCTTAAGGGATCTAGTAAATAAGACAATCTAAAACTTCAGCTATCATCCACTATTTCCTTCAGCACAATCATCAAACATATCACACAAACAGAGTCGGAAAATTTTCTTAGAAGGAATTAAATAAAAAATTTGATCATTACTTTAAATTATAATTTTAAATTTACCAAATTGAATTTTGGGTTAACTATATAGATGATTATTTATCTTTGTGTTTTATTCACTGATTTAAAAAAAGCATAAGATATGTTAATTTTCGTTTTTATTTAATTAAGATATGGTCACTCTGAGTTAATTATCGTTAACATCAGTTAAATATTTTGATAGAATCACACATTTGGTGTTGTTATTTATATATTCTCACAATTTAGTCATACTTTTAATAAATTAAAATAAATTATATATTTTTAAATGAAAATAAAAAATATATTTTTAAATTAAGTTACTAATAAAATATATTTAATAAGATAATATAAAAATATTTTTAAATTAATATAAATTACATAAATTTTTAAAAAATCAAATTACATAATTGAAAATAAAATTATTAAAAATTAAAATAAAGAAATACAATTAAATTTCAAATGTTTCGAAGTTATAATAAATATTTTAACAAATAATTTAGAATGTTAATTTGAAATAATTTAAGAACTTAAGAATTTAGAACACTATGATGTTAAAATTTAAAAAATTAGGATTTTAGAATGTTATAGTGAAATAATTAGAGAATTGTAAATAAAAATTTAATATAAATGAAAATGAAAAATAAAAATATATAGTAAATAAGGTACCGAGTCAGCGGGTACCCGGTTAACCAACATTTTGTGACTTAGGCTTGTGGGTGTAAACGAGCCGAGTTGAACTCAAGTATTGCTGAACTCGACTCGAACTCAAAAACTCACGAGCTAAAAATTATCAAACTCAACTCGAACTCAAAACATAATATTAAAACTCGACTCGAACTCCAATTCAAAAAAATTCAAAAACTCGATTGAAGCTCAAAACTCGAACTTGATTCAAGCTCAATTTTAAGCCCGATTCAAGCTCGATTTTGAGCTTGAACCACACAGCTCCGTGAGTTTTAGAAGAGTGCTTCACTGCTACTTGTGGCTTTATAAACATGAAGAAAAGCTGTTAGCATGCTTTCTTAGCGATGTGGGATAGTGGAACTTGATTTATTTTCGAGTTTTCACCTACAAACCTTATGGACCTG